GTACATATACTCTGAGGCAGCAATCCACTTTTATGAATCCAATAACAAACTATCCATACATAAAGCTCACTGAAGCACAATTGACAGCAAAAACACCCATAGAAACAGTTCTAAATAGCCATCAAGTGAAATGGTACAACTATGCTATGACAATATCCAGAATATTCTGCAGCTACAAATAAAAAATCTATTAAGTATATAGAAAAGCCCTAAAAGACTAAATGACATGATTAATTTAGTTTTGGGGGTTTTCAATAGATGGCTCAGCTTACTTGTTGCTCTTATAGAGGTTGGTTCCAGCACCCACAAGGCAGCTCATAACTGTACATAACTCTAGTTCCAGGAGAGCTGACACATTCTTCTGGCCTCAAAGGCAGCAGGCATTTATGTATATGCAGGCAAACACTCATCACACACATAAAATTAAAACTCGAAGTCTGGATTTTTTTTTTTAAGATACAAATAGGAAAGCAGTAAATAATGGTAACCTCTAAATAAAAAAAATTGAACCTGTCCCAGACATATTACTTTTGCAATTTAAATAGAAAAGTATAGTAGAAGCTCTTTTCACCTCTCCTAAAATAGCAACATTAAAAAACCTTATGTTAACTCGAAAGGCAGAAGCAGGCAGACCTCTGTGAGTTCGAGGCCAGCCTGATCTACAAAGCCAATTCCAAGATAACCAGGACTATTACAAAGAGAATCCCCTTCTCCAAAACCAAAGCCAAAACCAAAACCAAACAAAACAAAAAACAAACAAAAAACAAACAAGCAAACAAACAAAAAACCCACCACCATCAAAACAAAACAAAAAACCCTTACAACAAGCACTCTTAAAGAAGTAGTGGTTCTTCAATAGAGTCAAATTTTGTTGCTTTTTAAACTTGTATGGGTGTTTTGCCTGATTGAATGTATGTGTGCCATGTGAAAGCCTGGTGTCTGTGAAAGTCAAAAGGGGGAGTCAGTTCCCCCTTTTGAACTGAAGTTACAGAGGGTGAGAGCACCGTATGGGTGCTACGAGTCTAACTGGGTCCCCTGGAAAAGTAGCTAGTGCTCTTAACAATAAAGCCATCTCTCTAGCTCCCAAAGGCAAGTGTTTTGTAAACCATCTCTTTTATAGACTTTTTATAGCTTTTAATTTTTCTTTTTTTCTTTTTTTTTTTTTAAAAAATCATCCTTTAACCAATAGCCTACCAAGAAGAAAAGGTCCTACCCTTAAAAGACTAAAATAGAACTTAAGGTCTACCAGATTTTTCTTTAGTGCCTTCTGAATGTACATGATGAGTTCTGGATTTTGAAATCAAATCTTTTAAAATTCTGCTCAGCATACTTACCATTCATTCACTCAGAGTAAACAAAAACATCTCAAAGATAGGTCTTAGTCATATGTTAGACCCAGACAGCTACTTGGGTGCCCCCTAAGGACCAAATTTTTTAAATGTATACAGCTTCATGATACGTTAATGTCTTCTGTCATCACTTTTATTCAACAAGTACCTACTATGTGCTAGGTACAATGCTCAACAACAGAGACAAAAAGATAAATAAAATCAAGTTCTGATTTTCATACGCCTAAATTCATCTCATCCAAAATGATTTTAACCACAGTATGAGTCATCCATTCAAGGAGGCCCTTAAGGAAGTTATGACATGGATAATAAATATAAGCTTTACTCACTACTTAGGTAAACAAAACGTTCACAGTGTGTGAAAAAAGAAATTAAATATTCTTTCTAACCAACCCACACAAAATTGTGGATACTATTTTTAAAAGTAGCTTTAGATTATAGCACTCAATTTATTTTTGACCAAAACAAATATAAAGCTTAATTTTTAAAAATTAACAAGTGAGGCCTGATGACCTGATTTCCATCCCTGAGCTCACATAAAGGTGCAAGGAGGGAACCAACTCCACAAAGCTGCCCTCTACACAAGTACCAAAGCATGTGCATACATTCTGAAAATGTACACACAACATAAGTTAAAAAAAAGTTTTTAAATGATACAGCATCCCTCTGAGTCTTAGAACTATATCATTATATAATAGTTCCACTGAATACTTAGTTCAAATAAAAGAATTAGAGACTTAGAAAATACTATAAGAGAACACAGATTTAGAAATAATTAGAAAATAAAATTAAACTGAAAGGATTACTACAAATAAATGAGTGAAGTCAACTCCCAAAGCTCCCTCAAAACTTCTTGTCCCAGTAGGAGATCCAGTAAAAGTCTCTCTCTCTACCTGACCTGCACTCCCCTCCCCATGGAGCAATTACTAAAGTGGACTGTGACTCCAGAAAAACTTCCGGCTTCCCTGCAACACACTCCCTTACCAAACTCCAATACTCAGTATCCCTGAAACTAAGGTATACTTCTGACAGCACATGGTAGCACACACTTCCAATCCTAGCACTTGGGAGGCTGAGGCAGGAGAATAGAGCTTGAGGCCTGCTGAGACCATACCTCAAAACAAACAACACAACTTCTGGCAGCCTGAAGCTCTCTCCAGAGAAACAATTCTATAATAACCACATTTCAGGTACCCTGTGAACTAAATTTGCTTTGATGACAGTTGGTGAATTTAACATTAAGTATATAGCATTTTCCCTACAGGAAAAAAAATTGATTTTAAAACTTGCCATCTTTGAGGAGTATGTTCACAGCTGCCTGCATAATGAAATATTGAGCCAAAATGCAGACTCACAAAGGGGGGAAATGCCTGACTTACCTAACTAGACATCCCAGTGTTTATTTAACCAGCTAAGAAGCAGTCATTGTTCAATTATACTTCTGAAATAGCAGAGTATCAGGTAGATGTTTATGGCAACTGGAATCAACAGCAAACAGTTCAAAACAATTTACTCTACATGGCTTGGTAGGACAGGCCTAAAATCACAGCTTTTTATGACAGACATTGAGCCAAGAGAACCACAAGTTCAAGGCCTGCCTTAGTTACAGAGTGAGTGCAGGGACAACTTAAGCAGACTTTTAAAGTAAAAAGTACAGAGAAACAAGATGTTCTGTCATAGAGTGCAAGCGTTTCATGAGTGAGACCCTTGGATCCTCAGATCCACTGTCAGCACAACTAGAAAAATGAACAAAACCACAAACAACCCACAGCTTAAGCTTATATAACTGCTGAAGTCTTAAATAGTTAGATCTCAAAAAACAAAAAACAAAAAACAAAAAAACAAAAAAAATCATCATGGACTGTAATAATAGGTATTAACAGTATTATCAACTATTATTTCATGAAGTAGAAATATGAGTCAATGAACACAGAGATTTTTAGTCCAATGGAGTAACAGGGCTATTATTAGATTGAGTACAGACATTTAAGGACATAAATTCAGGAAATATTTGGGTGCACTCAAATATACTCAAATATGTAAGTCATAAGCCAAGTTTTAAAAAGTAATGCACCTTTAGGGGCTGGAGAGTTGGCTCAGAGGTTAAGAACACTCACTGACTGCCTGGTCTACACAGAGAAACCCTGTCTTGGAAAAACAAAAAACAAACAAACAAACAAAAACCCAGGAAGCTGAAACATTTGCATCTATGTACCAGGTGTGAGACCTCATTTAACAGTCACAAATACAAAACAGACATTTCTATTTTCTCCCTTCTTGCAAAGGAACTTAAGCTAAAAGTAACTTCTGTGGGGCTAGAAAAACAATAGCCGAGTCAGGACTTGAACTGCTTACCTGTTTTGATTCTAAATCCCTATTCCCTTCTTTACCATGCTAACTATATTTTAATCATTTTACTTATAAAACAAACCTAAAACCATCCACTTGTCATATGGCTTTCAAAAAGGTAAAACAAACAGAAGTAAAAATAAGGAGAAAAATTCTATGTGCTTTGTGATTAAACTGGTTCTCAAAAGTCATCTGTAATTCTAAACACAACTGTAAAACACATAACTTTTAGAACACATTCTATCTATTTGTGGGTGTTCTTTAGAGAATAGAATATAGGACAGGAGTTGAATGTATGAACGTGGAAAAAATCCAAAGCAAATATAGGCCACAGCCTACAGGAAAAGAAGAACTTATTTATCAAGTTCTGGGTCAAAACCTTTTACCAAGCACTCAATTTAATGGTGAGTGTTTTACCCCAACCCTGGTTGCCTTTTCCTTCTGATTGTCTTGTTTTCCTTTAAAACACTGCCCATTAAACATTTGCATCTATGCATCATTACAGCTAAAAAAAAAAAAAACAAACAAAAAAAACGGGTGTGAACCCATATCTGCTTAAGTCTTTGCCTCTCTCCGTGTTCATGCCACCCCTGACCTCAAATACTCAAAAGAATGGAGCTGGTAAACTTATGTCAAAACTTTAATTACATTTAGTTATTTGTGTGGGCAAACACTTGAGCCACAAGCTCGAGAGTGATCATCAGAGGACAACTAGGGGTGGGTTGGATTGTTGGTTCTCTGTATGTGGCTCTCAGGGATGGAACTTAGCGGCAGGCGCCCTTACCCGCTCAGCCATCTCTCCAGTCCTAAAGCAAACATTTTTTTTTAAATAAGAGAATTTTATAGTTGGGTGGTGTTTTACTTTCTCAGAGAGCAGAGTTTCTTATTTGCTTAGACAACTGAGGTTCAGTGAGAGTGAGTGACTCAGTCGCCCAAGGAAAAGGCGTGAGTTGGCAGCTGGGCCAAAGGTTAGCGCCTGGGCTCTCACAGCTCCCATACTTTAACTACCCCAAGATCCGGGTCGGGTTCCTCGAGGCGGATTAGCCGGGGACTGACAGCCAGGGATGTAGCGAGGAGAGAAGACCCCGATCCCAGGAGTGGAAGCAAGGACGCACAGAAACAAAGCGGACACCGCGGCGCGCACTCGCACACTCGACGACCCTCGGCCCGGGCGCGCGGTGGCCGTCGGGATTCGTAGTCCGCTCCCCACAGCGGGGGGGCGCGGCCGCCAACGCGGCTGCTCCCTCTGGCCCCGGCCCGCTCAGCCCGGGAGCTCTCCGTCGCCCTCCCGCATGGCCTCACCTCGACAATGCGCGCGCACTGGGTCCCCTTGCCAGCACCGGGCCCGCCCAAAACGAACACGACCAACGGCTTCATGAGGTGGAGAGGGCAGAGCCGCAGTCCGCGGGTCAGCGGCGGGAAGCTTGGTACCAGGACGTGCAGCAGCAGGCGACGACAGCTGCTCAGCATACAACGCGCCTCTGACAGCGGCCGGCGCGGCGGCGCGGGCGGGGCGGCAGGGAGGGGGCGGGCTGAGCGGGTGCCGGGCCCCGCCGCCAGCTGCGGGCCGCCGCGACAGGAAGGGGCGGGGCCTCCGTGCGCGGCGCCCGCTTCCGCTCGCGATTTCGGTTCTTCCTATTGTGGCTGGAGACCCAAGGCTTTTCAGGCTCAGACTGTGGGTTGATGCTTAGACAGACCGGTGGTTCAATCTCCCGGATTTCTCTTTTCCAAGAGAAGCGGCCCAGCTGAATAGGCAAACACAGGAGTCAATAGGAACAACGGCATTGTTGGGAAGGAAACCAAGGGAGAACAAGAACACTTTGGGTGATGTTTGCAGACAAAGCCTTAAAAGAGGTGACCTTGGAACCAAGACTTGAGGGCTGAAAAGAGCGGAGACTGGGATGCAGCGAGTGACCCACCAAGAGAGGAGAGCATGTTGGAACGCTAGGGCTGGATAAGGAGAATGCAAAGTCATAAATGGAGAGTTGAGCCGGTTATGAAAAAGCATTTAGATTATATTCTAACTTCAGTGAAAGCCTGTAAGCTTAGCTCTGTTACCCTGACTCAGGCCATTAGGGAAAAAATCTGAACAGAGAAGAAAAAAAGTGAAAACTGAGCCTGGATGAACACAATCCTTTTAAAGTTGTAGACGACAGTGGTACCATTTTCGTGGAGTTTTTATAGTAACAGTTATGAATCAAGTTATGAATCAAGGCAATTTTTTTAAGGTAACTTGGTAGAAATGGTTTCAAGCAAAGCTGGTGCTGTTATTGGCCCCAGATGCTAAATGATGAGAGGAATGAGACAACTGGTCCAAAGGTAGTAAGTTATCCCTATTGTTCACAATCAGTTACAGATTGAACTCTTGTTCGATACTTTCCCTCCTTCTCACTACTGCAGTGGACTAGAGATAAGAGTAAGACAAAGTCCACCCACCAGAACTCACCTGATATGTTTTAAATTGGGCCTGCAAGCTCACTCCAGGGTCTCTCTATAATATAATGGGAGACCCCAGCATGCTGGACTTCTGCAGAATAAAACACTTTTTGCATCTACATGCTACTTGAGTCCAGGATGTCATTCTTTGGCAAATCATGGACCCTTACAATGACATTCTTAGCCTTTGGGTTTGGAGGCTAGGCTTCTGTTTGTATATTACAAATGGACTTACCTAATAGTCACAAGAATGTTAGGTCACATAGAGGTGAGCAATAAATGATTATATAGGGGTTATAATAGATAATTTGGCTCTGGACCTAGAATATTCCTGTGAGTCACCATCCTCTGCACCTGTGCTGTTGTGCCCACTCCCCCGTCTCTATGCATTTTCCCCGAGAAGACTGCTCAAGGAGAAATCGAAGCTTGGGTGGTAGGCTGCCAAGTGTGTCTCCTTGTTCCTGTTTTGTTCCTTGTTCCTGTTTTTATTCCTGTTCCTGTTTATGTTTCTGTTTTGTGGGGAGTATAGAAGGGAGCTATGCAGTTGAAAATATAGCATTTGATCTTTACCAGATGACTCCTTGTCTTTCTTTCTCTCACCCTCAGCCCTCCGCCGATCCAAGGAACTCTGTCAGCTATGCTGGCGTAGCTGACATATTCCAGCTCTCTAAATAAACCTGAAGTCAAAGGCTAAAGCAGGAGGATGATGGGTTTGAAGCCTGACTCTATTCCCAGCCATTGGGAGGCAGAGACAGATGGATCTCTGTGAATTCGAGGCTATCCTCGTCTGGTTTACACTTTTAAGTTCCAGACCAGCCAGAGCTACATAGACTCCCATCTCCAAAACAATAACGAAACCCAGACAGCCCGATACACAATTATAATTGCAGCAGCTGGTAGGTGGAGGTTAGAAAAGTACTCACAGCCAGCTTCTACTACATAGCAAGTTCCAGGTCAGCTTGGGCTACATGAGACCCTGCTTAAATTAAAAAAAAAAAAAAAAGCCAAAATCAGCTTAAGAATATTTAGCAATAAAAAGCAAGGAGGTTCCAAGTCTGTGTTTTTGCTCATGAAAAAGCAAAGCGCGTGAGACTTGAAAGAAACAAAACTAGTCCTGACTCTCTGTATTACCAATAGAAAGTAAGTACCTTGTCTGGGCATTGCCCCACTTTTGTACAGATATTAGGGCAGAGAGGATGGAACATGTAGCAGGAGTACACAGGCCTTTAAGTCTTAACTGCTACTAATTAGTCACTCTGGCCTTAGAAAACTACTACAAATCCTTGCATTTTAAACTGGGAAAAAAGTAAAATGAAAACTTGTCTAAGACCATCAAGAAGGATCAGTGGATAGTTGGGTGGTGATGATGGTACATGCCTTTAATACCAGCACTCCAGAGGCAGAGGTAGAGTCAGTTGGATCTCTGGTCTACAGAGTGGGTTCCAGGATACCCAGGGCTACTCAGAGAAATCTTATCTTGAAAGGCAAAAAACAAACAAAAAAACCCAAACCCACTCAATTCTTAGATTGTAGGTTATAGTTTGCTGACCACCTGTGACCTAGAACACCTGATGGTAAATTCCAATCCAAGCTTAAAAGGTCCCAACCATCCCCCTGACTAGGACAGTAGCATCTGAGAATAAGGACAACCAGTCATACTAGGAAGAGGAGGTAGGAATATGAAATAGGCCATACTGAGCTAGGCATGGTGAGCCATGCTTATAATCCCAGTACTCAGGGTAGAGATAGCTTATCTGTGATTTTTAAAGGCTTACAAAATGGCCTCATGGATAAAAGTACTTAAATGTGCAGGCCTGACAACCTGAATTCATTCCCTGTGGAACCCACAGTGGAAGGAGAAAAAGTTTCAAAGGTTGCCCTCTGACCTCCACTAGTGCTCTATGGCTTGTATTCACACACACACACACACACACACACACACACACACACACACACACAATGCAAATGATGATTATAGCCCTGGCTGGCCTAGAATTTGCTATGTAGATTAGGCTGACCTCTAGCTCACAGAGATCTTTGGGGCTCTGGGCTCTGTCTCTGGATTGCTTTTTTTTTTTTTTTTTTTTTTTTTTTAGTTATTTAGAGCCAATTAGTGCTTCAGCAAGTTAAGCTACTTGCTGCCAAACCTGGAGACCTGAGTTCAATCCTAGAGCCCATATAGTAGGAACACATGCAATTAAGAAAAGTTTTAAAGGATATTAAAAATAGAAATTAAAAGATCATATCAAAGTAAATGTGCCTTATTTTCTTTTGTGCATACGTCCCTGGGTGACCACTATATTTCCTCTGGCCAATGGAGTTATGAGATCTTAAGGGTGTGAGGTCTGTGGGAAAAGTCTATGCAGTTGGCTAACTTTAAGGAAGGCCTTGAGACAAACACAGAAGGACACTCTTTGTTGCTTCCATAGAGCACCAGAACAAAGAATTCCACCTAAGGGTCTAGGTCCAAAACTTCTTTGAATACTTACATATGTCTGAGTCCCCTGGATAACTGACCACAGTAAATTGAGTACTTGTTTTCCATCCTGCTCATCACCTGCTAAGTATGCTAAGCAACAAACAGAAGTAATAATTTTATGCTGAAAGATATAAAAAAGAGAAACTCAGATGCCTGTCTGTGACAAGGGTTTTACGAGGAGTCGTTTCTAGGAAGGATCAGGCTGTGCAAAGAAACATTTCCTTTCTAGTTGGCTCTTTTAGCATGCTATTATCCACTGCAATTTAGCACAAGTTAATGGGTTAAACTACAAGGAACACTTTACTTAGAACATTTTGGGTTATAGCTCATCTTTGTTCCATATGGTATCAGCTAACTTTTTCCAAAAAAGACTCATTCACATAACTGGTGATTTTAGGTTGGCTTTTGGCCAGTTGCTCTGCTAGAACTATGAGTTTCACCAAGAGTTGCTTGGATTTCTTCCTATCTCCTGATGGCTCTCGTTCTAAGTGGTGGGAAATGAAAACCACAAGTGTCTAAAACCTGGACTCAGAAACTATCACAGTGATACTTCTACCATACAGAACCCTCGAAGAGAGGGGAAACATAGGTACTACTTATTGATAAAATACTATCAGAGAATCTTAAGCTGTGTTTTTTTCTTATTCTGTGTACTCGTGTGTGTGTGTGTGTGTGTGTGTGTGTGTGTGTGTGTGTGTGTGTGTGTATACACCACGAGTTGACAGCAGGGATCTTCCCCAATCACTCTTATTTACTTCCCCAATCACTCTTATTTATGTATATCTAGTTTTTAGGTCCTGGATATCTTGGAACTCTATATATATACCAGGCTGGCCTCAAACTCACAGAGATTTGCTTGCTTCTGCTGGGATCAATGGTATGTGTTACTATACCTAGTGCTACAGTCATTTTTGAATAAGAGTCTCACCAAATCTTAAGCTCAATTGGCTGTCCATTGAGCCCCGGAGGTTCGTCCCAGTGCTGAGATTACAGGTACCTGGCTCTTTTTTTTTTAGAAAAAAAAAAAGGGTGCTAGCAGTTGGGTTCTAGTTCTCATGCTTATATAGCAAGCACTTTAGTGCCTGGGCCTTCTCCCCCATCATGAGCCAAGTGGTACCCTGGCTTTAGTAAGCTGTGCTAGGTCATGCAATGCTTAAGAGACTATGTCCATGAAACAAGACAAAGAGGCACCAGGATACACTGGTGCTTAACATTTAAACCTGCCGCTGTGCAAAAGGTCAACCTCAGAACCTTAGTCTTAATTTGTCCCTGTGGAATACATATTCTCTTAGTTATAGATCTATTTTGTCTCAGTATCTTGGAGGAAGCAATGAGTTTCATCTAAATGCAAACAATTAGATGTGCAGTAACAGTACCTAAAAGATATAGACTAGGTGAATGTCACTTCATAAAGGGCCATTCCTTATCTAAACTCATAGAATAATCCACAAGCTAACATATGTACACTTCATTCATTCATAGATACATTCATTTTTTGGAATGTCCATTATGTGCCAGCTACTTTGGTTATGTTATTTTTGGGTGGCATTAAAACATAAAATACTAAAACAATTGGGATTCTTTAGATATTTCTATGACTGGATTTTTCTCTACCAGATGTCCTTTTACTCTCGGGTCACAGGGA